CTGATCAGGGAGGACCAAGTAGCACTAAGAAATAATGCTTTCTGAATGTATCCTTGGTCAGCAAGAAAGTGCTTAAATTAGATTGCAGGTAGGATTTAGGCTTCTGAAATCTAGGAGTGTGTTGCCTAAAACAAACCCTTGCCTAACCCTTACATGTATAAATATCCTGAGGCATGTGTATCTTCAACCAGATCTAGCTGAAGATGTCCCTGCTCATTGCAGGGGGTTTGGACTAGATGACCTTTAAACGTCCCTTCCAACCCAAACTATTCTGATTCTATGTATTTCATTACTAAGATTCTCCAGCTTTTTGGAGTTGGTACAACTGGAGGTATATATTCACAATATCCAGAGCTGAAGTAAACTTGTCCATAATAAGCAGTGTAATGCATATATGGCATGCCTCAGCCTGACTGGACTTTATGGACCAGAAAGTTTCTGAAGACTGATAATTCAGCTTTTCCTAAATTCCATAGTTAGGGGAAGCCCAGGATTCAGGTCCCTGCTTCACAGATGGTTACTGGGTTTGGTCAGTGGTAGCTGAATGTAAAACCACAAAACCAGTCCTCGAGGCAGGAACAAGGTAAGTCTTCCAGTGTGGTAGGGAACCAGACTTCAGCACTGTGACCCTGACAGTCTCTGGCTGTACATTGGCACAGGCTTCAACAGCAGGAGTAGAGAGCATCATTACCAGAAAGCAAGCTGCCATTTGGTGGTCACAATTGCTTTTATTATGAAGTAGACAGAGTATGTTTTAATCTCTTTAGTTTGAGGAAGTCATATGATGCCTAGCATGTAAGAGGCCCTCCACTTGTTTATAAGATAGTTTGCAAGAGATGGCTTAGTTCCAGGCTTCACAGGAGGATTACTGTCTGAAATGGGTATCTAAGTCACCCCCCACCTGTACACACTCCACTCGGAAGCATCCAACTCTCATAGGGACAGGGAATGCATTCACTTTTGCTACCATACACCTAAACCTTTTCTAGATCCAGCTTATATACTTGAAAGCATTTGTCTAGGAGTTAACTTGAAGCCAATAGTCGCTGCAATTAATTGCTGGGCTGTACTAGACACCTAGGGAAGTATCCTTACCAAGAATGCTCTCATGGAGTGTCACCTCACTTCCTTATTACAATTGATATTACCTATAAGTTTCAAAGCCTAGATTATACTCTATGGGCCTCTATTTAAATTTCTTCTTGTCCAAAGCATTAAGAGTAGGAATCAATCTGTAAGGTATTATTTAATATCTGATTATCATTAGGGAAAAAAAAAAAAAAAGACTCTCTGGTGTAGTGGAATGAATTATTGTTTTCTAAATCCTCTTTTTTTAAAAAAATAAGGCATGTAATAAACCTGTCAATAACTTAAATTCTTCTGCTGAGCATAGCAGCATGTTGCTTACTACAGCAAAATCTCAAGAAGAAAAAATGCAATGAAAAATCCATTAGACATAAGTGTAAAATGTGAGTTAAACTCATCTTGCTGGTTTAAAAAGACAGTAGCATTTTTCTCCATGGTAAGTACAAGCATGTTTCTGAAAACTTGTAGGAGACAATGCATTCTTGCTTGTTTAGGCAGTAGCTCAGATTAATTTCTGGATGACTGTAATCAATATCTTTAGTAGCATCATGAATTCATTTGGCTTACTGAATTAAGCTGACAACACAAATCCTAAATATCATTTTACACATCATAATTTGTATAACACTGTTGTCAAATAAATCACTTCCAAAGCAAAAAAACATACAGTACATCCTTTTCATTAGTGATATTTGCTTGAATTTACAGTTCCTAGGCCTGCAAAATTAACTTAATTGCAGTAAGGCTACAGGACTAGAATGGTCTGTATTTACTGTATATACAATTTAATTATTAAACAATCATATTTTTAATGAATTGCTGCTCTATGATTACCTTTAGTGAATTTTGCTTGTACTAATGGATCCACTGTTCTACCATTAGCAAGATCATGTTTGAAATAAAATGGTATAAATGTATTTTAATCCACTCTTGGGAAAAAAAGCTGTAAGAAAGGTTACTCTTTGAGTACTTATGTGAATTAGTTCCTTATGTCAAATCATTATGCAGAAATAAAAGGTGTGGTCAGCCCACTTAAAATTCCATTTGATTCCTTCTGGGAATAGAAAACCTTTGTATTATTTTTCATGCTCTGAACATTTACTAGAAGACTGAAAACTAACAGTAATTTAAAAGAAGGGGGAAGTATTATCAGATTCAAGAAAATAAGTAAAATTATGGTTGCTCGAGGATCATGACTTCTATTGTTTCACAGTACTACTCTGAGTACAGTTTAGGGGATTTTAAGAAAAAAATAGATGATAGATTTACTAATGCTTACCAATTTTTCAGTGATACCTCTATTTCCGGGTAATGATCCTTGCAGAAAATAGCGTTTATTTTCTTTATATGCTATCTAGACTGTGACTTGTTGAGTTTAATTTCTCATAAAGAGGACTATGAGCAACAGAAAAGTTAAGGCCAGGCAGGGAATTCAAAAGGGACCTCACCATGGGAAGGTGAACAATCTCACCAACTGGGGCTGCTCCTAATTGAAGTAGCAGGAAAACGGTTTAGAAATACAGAGGGCTCCTCCAGCGGCTTAATCCCAAGTCACATAATTAGAATCTCTGCAGCACTAATGGCTAGCTTTCTTGAGTACAGCTTTCTTGCCATAGCATAAACAACCCTGTTTCTTTTGGTCAGAATTAATGGTGACAATAAAAATGTACCTTAATGTACTGCTGTTGAATGTATGCAATACCTATGGCTACAGCAGAATGTGGGCTGAAGAAACTTTTTTTGTTCCATTTTTTAATCAAAGCTCTACACCAGAAGCACTTAAAACCACTCAGTTAGTCTTAGGACTATTTAGTCTTATGATCTTAAGACTACTTAGTTAAGGTTGTGTAACTTAAGCAACTTACTATAAACAATTCTGGAGTTACAGGCTCTAGGATCAAAACAACAAACAGCATTTGTAGAGAGACGTCTGGCGTTGCACACACCAGTGAAACTCTCTGAAGGAATCGGCAAGCGTAAAGGTACAAACGATGCCAGTGATAACAGGATTTGTGAAAGTTCTTCAGCAAGGTCCCTCCTCATAGTCTCTTAATGAAACTAAACTGTCATAGGACAGGCAGGCAGGATTTCCTGAATCTGGTTAAGGGTTAAAAAATATGGAACAGGAATACATCTTCACAAAGCAAGGAGGTTCCTTAGGACCCCTTAAAGTCAGTGTTGGGTTCAACGGTGCAAAGACATTCTGGTGATCTGGAAGTTGCTATAGAATTTTTCAGAATAATCAAAAATGCAGATGATTGTGGGAGATACCACAAGTTTTGGTGATACGGTAATGAAATGTCAGATGAAATTCAATGTTGATAAATGCTAGGTGGGTACACAGAGGGAAACATTGACACTAACAACCCTCATATGAGTGAGTATAGCATGAGTGCTACTTATTTATACTATCACCACTCAGGAAAGGGATTGTGGTGAAGCAGCAAAAATTCTCAGGAGATTTAGCTCAGTGGCATTCAAAAAAAAAGCAAATACCTTTGTGAGCTTTTAGAAGAGGAATTAATTAAAAATTGAACAATTAGTACTATTGCTCGAAGATACATTGACTTGAGCATGTAGGTGTTGCCATCCCATTTCAAAAGGAACATGGAAAAGATGCAGGCAGGCTAGCAGGATGAGGATGTTCAGAGATACAAAATGGCGTCCCTAAGAAGGAAAACCATACGAATGAAGCCCCATCAGTGAGCAAAGAGCTGGAAGAACTTTATGAAATTATGAGCGTTGACAGGGATAAAAAAATGGGGAACAACTCTCCATTTCTCAAAAACACTAGGGAGCACTAAGTGAAGCTAGTGGTAAAAGAAAGTATTTTTCATAAACACATAATGAAATTATGGCACTTAGTGTCACAGGACGTTGTGGCATGGACAGTATAAAAAGGGTTCAAAAAGTACATGAGCGAATTATCGGAGAATTGCCAGTTGACAGCAATTAAACAGGCTGTACTGGGTTCGACACCTGGTTCTGGCAGTCCCTAAGCTGCTAATTGCCATAAAATGGCAAAAAGTCATCCCGTAGGCCTCCTATTGCTTTTCCTAAGCATCTGCCCCAGCTGCTACCTGACCTTTGGTAGGTCTGCTCTTACCACATTAAGTAAACTGTTAGTTCTCCGAGTTAAAAATGTTTCTGTTAAAAGATTCAGCAAGAATGACTCGGTTAAAGTCGCTTTAGTAATTAACCCTTTGGAACACTTTGTGCTGCTTCTTTCTACACGCTTCCTATAGCTTTCCTAGACTGCTCCAAATTTGCTGGTGAAACGAATTCTACGAGAAAATTTTGCGACTACAAAGTGAAAGCTGAGAAGTCAATCATAGAAAACTCAAGTAGCGATTTTAAAGTTGCGAGGCCGGCTTAGAGCAGTGCCCTCGGCACCGCAGCAGCACGGCCCGACCGCCCCCCGGCGCCGAGCCCGGCCGGGACGGCTTTTCCCCCCCTCGCAGGTTGCACCACGGGCGCTGCCAACCGTCCCGCTTCGCCGCTCCCGTCTCGCCCTGCATTTATTTATTTAAATGTTCGCACATCGCGCTCTCCGTGCTGCAGCTCCCTGGAGTCCTCTCCAGGGACCTCCGTCTCTGTCAGATACTCAGGGAAAGAAACAAACCAACAAACCCTCCCAAAACCCAGCGGTGATCGCTTAGCCCTCTCCCGCAGCGAACGCTCGGCGGCGGCGCCTCCGGCCGCCGCAGCTCCCCCGCCGGCAGCGGGGGTACAGCCGCCCACCCGCCGGGCGCCCAGCCAGCACCAGTCTAGGCGGTGGCCCCTGAGGGGACCGGGGCTTCGCGCCCCCGGGGACCGCCCGGGACCCGCCTTTCGGCGGGGGG